ACCAAATTCCTCTGCATTAGGATAGGAAATAACTCTATATAAGTCATTGGAATTGGATCAAACTGAGATTTCTTCTGATCAGAAACTTGTTGATTCCGTTGACAAACTGGAGCAACAAGAGGTAACTGAACACATGGATGACAGAAGAAACATGTTGATTATGACGCTGATTGTTTCTTCTTCTGGTTCTCTTCTTAGAAAAATTATTATCAAACTTTTTCACACCACTAGTTGTGCCACTGTATTCAGATGAACATTCCTTTCGGACATCCTCTTCTAGAAGCACTCCCACATTCTCCTTTTCTGGGAACTCACCGGGTGCATTGACTACCACCTTCTCATGAAAGAATGATTTCAGAGTTTCTGTGAAGACTTTTTCCATCTCTTCTTCCTTCCTGGAAGGATTGACTTGGGTGGCAACCAAAATTTTAACCAAAGCAGTTAGATATTCCATATCAGACTTCAAAGTAGTTACTTTTTTGCGGAGTTCAAAGATTTCTTGCTTAATGCTTTCCATCTTTCCTTAGCACGAGTGTTGTACTGATGAGACAGCTTGATTCAAACGACCAAAGGACCTTGAGTAAGACTTGTGGGGAACTCATGAGATGCATAGTTAAATGTGATATGATACATGATATGTAATGCAAATGTCATGCTTTTGTTTCCAAAAATTCATACACTTTGATTCCAGTTATTAAACCACAATGTTATTATATATTCTTTTTCATGTATTTATTATATATCATTTTTTTTGTTTATTTTTTTGTCTTAACAATTGGAATCAAGGAAGTAATGTTTGGAAACAAAAATATGTATGCTGATAATTATATTAACATGCTATGTGTGCAAACATATTGGATCAAAGCTTCTGCGGTACTGAATAGCTGCTGAACTGATAACAGACGCACTGTTATATGTAATAAGATCAAAGGTCCAGACCAATTCCGAATATCAAGGATCAAAGTCATTAGTATAATCAGAGTCACCAACAAAACATGCATAGTCACCATCTGTACCTGTAAAGATTATTCCCTCCCCACTCACGGGTAAATACTAGGTCATGGTAAGTTCAATGGTAACTCAGAATTGAGGGTACTCCTGAAAAACTATCGCCGTATCACCTACGTGAAAATGATAGCCCCTCATTTGTACCTCATCTGAGCGTGGACGACATGGCGGCATAGTGAAACCTAAGTCAACTAGCCGTTCATGTTCCACTTTACTCCTAGTGTTCATGGGGTTTCCACTTGGCCTGGGTATTGGGCCTTTTACCTCATAGTAACATCCCACCCATCAAGAAACAGAGAAACCAGCACAACAACAATATAACAAATAACAATAAAGATGCAATGCAAACATATGCTCAAACATATACAAATGAATAATCCATAAAAGCATAATGATAAACACCCTAAGAAAATAAAAACAGGATCTAGGAGTGACTCACGAGATGAACCAGCAATAGGTCGACATATTCTCTTCCCTAGTGAAGTCGCCATTTTCCTGTAGCGGTAAAAGCAATGAAATCTCCACCGAGTATTTATTTATCCCATATGAAAGGGAAAGGAAAATCATCGAAGAAAACCTAAAGGGGAAATCAAGGTCTTGCGACCGAGAGATTGGGTAAGGGCGTCGATTACGCGAGGGGAAGGTATTAGCACCCCACATGTCCATAGTACTCTACGGGATCCACTCTAGTTATTCTAATCAAAGGGTGTGTTCAATGTAATGCTTAAGGGTTATAAACTAAGAGAGAATGCATGCAAAGAAAAGATAAATAATGTAGGGAAAATAAAGTTGTACTCGCTTGGGCGCTACCCCAATGCCTACGTATCCCTTTTGAGGAATCAAAGCTACCGTTGTTCGGCTCACATGTTTTTGTTTGTTTGTGTTTTTTATGGACGAAGTTAATTCCGCCTTCTGCCGCAGCTCGACCTTTGGAGACTTATGCGTTGGCACAGAAGTAAATTAATCATGTCCTTACCTGAAAAGGGTTTTAGAGAAAAGGTGCTCGAGCGCACAAAATTGTTTGAATTGGTTTGTATTTTTATTACCTTGAAAAAGGGTTCAAGTATGATTAGCATGTTTTTTTGATTTGCTAAGAAAAGAAGTTTTTATTTTAAATGCAATTATGCAAAAACGGGAAGAAAACATCTAAGGGAGACTAACCTATCTCTAACCTAATGTTATCATACAATGAGGGATCCTACCTAAGTTAGCATGCCAAAGAAAGTCTAACAAACTATCCTATAGGGAATATGCACTGAGAGCGAAGTCATGATCTCAATTTCTAAATTGAGTGACTCATCGATCAACAAGAAATAAAGGAAAGCGATAAAATCCTATAGGGAGCATGCACTGAGAGCGAAGTCGTGATCTCAATTTCTAAATTGAGTGACTCATCGATCAACAAGAAAGGAAGCAAACACAAGCACAACACATAACAGAAATGAAGTGTGGAATGCCTGTTACAGGTCTTTAAACAACGACTTCAAGTGTACGCTATTTATTTCCTACTTCTCATGATATCTAAAAAACAGTAAAGTACTGAAATGAGATAAACAAGGGAAAATACCAAACGGATATCAATCCGTAGCAAAGCCTATCAAAATAAAGAAACCCGACGATCTTCGCGAAAGCTTCACCAACCAAAGAAAAGAGTCTGAAGTCAAACGCTCGAGATAAGCGTCGAAGCACCATCGATGTGAAAATAAATCACAATCAAAATCTCAAGCATATCCGCATATCGCACAACAACCCTGCACAAGACTAATGGAGAAGGTCTGTTGCCTCTTCTAAACCATGCAAGTAAAGAGAAAACTCTACAGAAACTGCTTCACACAAGTGATCGAACAAATTAATCCCCAAGCATTCCACATTGTGAAAATTACATCAACATTCTATCATAAAATCTTAGCTAAAAAATGATAATGAAAATGATTACTAAACATAAAATAATAGAAAATTTTAAGGAAAATTCTAAAGGGAGACCTTAAAGGGTTCTAACATATTCTATTATTTTTGTATCATTTTCATCATTAAAATCATGGAAAAAATGATGCTAAAATTAAAAACATGGAAAGGTAAAAGTAGTAGAAACAGAGGGGTGTATTGCTAAGCCCAAGAGGTATGCAGAAGCAGGACTAGGCGCAGGCCCAATCAGATTTAGTCCATTAACCATTTTTGTTCACCAACCTAGAAGCTACCAAAAAAAGATTTTGGGCCAAAGCTAAGAAAAGGACTCGATCCACACCAATGCCAGCATTACTAATCCAAGCCCTTTTTTTTAATCTTTCAGCATGATTATGTTTCAGTAATTATAAAATACAAAAATTAAAATAGAAAAGAAACAAAATGATGTTGTTTTGGGGAGTTAGGGTTCAAATGCTTGTGACCCTCCAAGTTCACGAACAAAGAGTTCTCCATCCTTCTCTCTCAAACACCACCGTGAACCTCTTCCACCGCTTCTTCATCTCAGTCTTCACCCACCGCCGCACTCTGCATTGAGTTCTGGAAATCAAGACCGGCTCAACCTTCACTGATTTGAAACCTCATTCATCTTCTTCTTACAAACCGTCATGGACCTTTTCCTCACGCCGTCTCTTGATCTCGCCGTAAGATTCACTAATCATCACCTTCATCGTTTCTGATTCTCATAGATTCACATTTATTTAAGCTCCTATCCATACCACTGGCTGCACAAGCTTTGATCTCACTTACGATTAATCCTTTGCAATTTGATTCTCCGTTGCGCTTATCTTTGGATTTGAAGAAGGGATATTTAGAGAACCATAGATGAGGTAATAATATGCTTTTTCTCTTTTTGTTCTTCTTCTTCTATTCTCTTTTGTATTCAAATTTTTTTGCCTTGTTCTGAGTTTGTGTGTTGCACTATGGTTGTTATTTTTTGCGGTGGGGAGTTAAAACTATGGCTGTGGGATATGAGAAGATGAAGAGAAATTAAAGATGTTGAAGTTGCAGTAGTGGTGGTGATTCTTCTGAGACGGTTGGAGAATGAAGTAGGATTGTAGAGAAGACGATGAAGAAAGATTGACGAGTGAGTGATTTTGGTTGTGACGTTCTTAGAGGTTGATGAATATTATTGATGGAGCGTGATGATTATTGTAGTTTGTGGTGCTGCAATAGTGAAACTGATAAAGAAGATTATGGAGTGCCGAGAAAGAGTGAAGGTGATGATGATTGAGGGTGTAGAAAGTTGTTGCGGTTTGATGAAAATACAGAGAGAATGGTGGATTGAGAAGCGATGAAGATGAAGAGAGTGAAGGATCTTCTTGCAGAGAAAAGGTGAGATGAATTTTCTGAGATTTCCTCCCTTTAGTTTGTTGCCTATTTTTTTATGTATGAGATGTGAATGAATTCTGAACCTGAATAATGATAAGTGATCTCTGTTTCCTCGTTTCTCTATGTAAATTCTGAATGTAAATAATCGTATCTTGTTGAATCTATTCCTCTCCTCTTTTCTGTTTTCTGTTATAATCTGTTGGGAGTTTTTTTTTATTTCTCGTTATGCAGGGCAGTTAGAAAACTGGTTTTTGATGGTTGAGAGGGTGAGAGTTAGTTAGGAGTGGAGGAATCTTAGCCTTTGAATTGAGGAATTTGGTTGCCAAATGAAGGGTAAGATGAGAGGTTAGTTATCTGTTAAATTCTTTTATGCTCAGTTTGTTTAGAGGATGAGAAACGGTTAGGTTAGTTAGAGGTGGTTAATGGGAGGTTAGAAATTATGTTATGTGGTTAGTTGTTAGTTAGAGAAATTAGTTTTTTTGTTATTGAAATTTTGTTTTCTGTTGAGGAGTTCTGTTAGTTAGTTAGGAAGGTTTTGGGCTGTTAAACAGGGCTATTAGGATATGGTCATAGGGCTGTTAAAAACTGTTTCGAATTTGTTACAGGCTTTGGGCAAGGTTTGGTTATTGGATTGGAGAATCGGTTGATTGTTTTATGAACTAACTTGTTTTCTTGGTTTGATATTTCAGGCCTCTCCCTTAAATGCTCAGCAGTGTCCGAAGCTGCGAAACTGGAGGAAAATCGATGAACAGAACATCCTTCTTAGCATCCTGCAAACCATCTTGTTCGGCCTGGTATTTGTTATCCCCTTCAAGACGTTCAAATTCAACATACTTATCAAAGGAACCATAAACATCGCGACAACCCTTGACATCAAGATGAAGGTCATAAAATGACTCCTTTCTAGTTGATTTGTAATCCACATTGATGCACTCTATGTAGTTCATATGGTGTCCTTCGAATAAATTTTGTATTGTTCCCTCGACAACAGTTACTTTCATTTTACCTTCAAGTTTTTTCACAAAGGACCCGGTTAAGTTCTTGGACATCAGGCTGCATGAATGAATCATATGTATCTCATTAAAAGATTTTGTTAACTCTTTTGTTGATACACTGCTGTCATTATACTGGAGCTTGTAGAGTAAAATTTGCAAAGCCAAAGGGATGCTTCCAAATGGCATATCATTTTCAGTTGTTGGAATATGGTATACAACCCTTTCTAAAATAAGGAATATGGTACAAAGTTTGGAGTAGAGAATTTATATAATAGGTAGCTCCTTGGTTCTTAAGCCCAACATAGTCGGTCTCCTTCTTTAAATCATAATTTTAGTAGTCAATAATCTTACGAACAAGAACCTCGGCTTCAATTATAAGAATATCATTCACAAGATAATCCCTACTAGGGTCATACAATTCACCAAGAGGCGTGAAAGATATGAAACCCCGATCACTTTCTCGTGCATTAAATTGATGTTGCGTGTCTTTTCTCACAGAAAACTTATTATGGATTTGATTAACAATTGCCAAGCTAAATTGTGCATATCTACCCCAACCATAGGGCTAACTAGTTGAATCTGCAACATTCAAATACATGGACAAATAGTCGACATTGTTCCCTTTTGGGAAAATAGGTGCACGCCATTTGCAACTCCTTTCCTTCAGAATTGTACTTGAAATTCCGTTTTCCACTTCAAATTTGCAAGCTTGGGCAAGAACCATATGATGGTAAGATAAAAGCCCAAAAAGTTTTAAGAAGGACTTTAGTTAAAACCTTTAAACCTTGATGTGATATCCTAATTCCACCATGTCTCCTCAAATTCTTGCATAAGGTTCAAAGTACTGATTTGTAGCCCAAATAATCAAGTGAACCACATTTCAATGGATGACAACACCAAATGAAGCCCTAATGTTGAAGTGTGCCACATGATAGCCTCAAAGAAACCTATTTGCACTGATTCATGCTTAGGGAATAAGCCTTTATCCAACGAGCCTCTTGACTACCACATGAATAGGGAAATAAACCATAAATCCCCAAGATAAGTGCTAACACACTGAAGAAATGTCTCACCTCATGAGCTCCAAGAATTTTTTGTCTTAGTTTAGAGCCCTTTGAAAGAAGTCCAGTTGAACGTCTTGCATCATAAGTAACAATGAAGCCACCCCTCACATGATGAACAAGCCTAAGTGATGAGAACAAATCCAAGATTTATTTCATAATTCCAAGCATAAGGAAGAAAACCCTTAATCCATGATCAATGAGAACCTCAGTTGAAACCAAACAATATGATGTTTGAATTAAGTCTTGAACAAGTCTTCCATCTTTGAAACATAAATCCATTTGACCAACTGCGCCAAAATATTCACTTGAAAAGGATTCGAGTGAAGTCAGAATGAATGAGAAATGTCTTAAATTTCAAGTAATTCTTCTTTAAAGAGATTCTCATAAGACGGACTTGAATTCACATTGGCTTCGAATGATATTTGAGTCACCATCTTTGAATTCCACGCAAACCATCATATGAATTTTCTTGAATTAATTTGGGCTAAAAGGAATTCCTTGAACGAATCTTCAAATCACCTCCAATGAAACCCTTAATCTGGATCTTCAATTTAATCAGAATTCAGGAAGTAATCCTAACTTAATTCACGGCTTAAGCACCAAGAATCATCTTGATGAAATCTTCAATCAATCCTTAACCAGGTAACAAATAGCATCACAAGGGATGAGTAGTGCTAAATGTGGCTTTGAAGTGAGACATTAATTCAATAAACCTCCATAGAAGAATCACTACCAAGCTCAAATAAAATGAAGATAAATCGTGATTCTCTGGCTGAGTTAAACTCTAACGCCTTGGTTCCTTGAAAGAACTCTGATGAAGAAAAATTTGTATCTTGAGGAAACCTGATAGCGAAGACATTTATGTTGTTTGAGATCCCAAACCCTAATCTCATACCAAGAAAAATGAGAGCTCCAATTGAATCAACTTTGAGTAAGATAGCAAACTCCATTCAGAGAGAGAAACCTTAATGCCAAGGCGCTTCGATCTTATAACCATGAGACCAATGCTATGAAATGTACAAAGTATGATGAGGGATCTTAGGGGCAAAAATTGGGGTACAACATGTAGTGATTAAATTTTAACCAACAAATACAAGGAATGTTTTCCCTAATTGATGATGTTGTAGGTGAAATCATAATGCATTCCATCAAGTTGATCCATAGGTTCATGAGTTTATTTCCATGCCTTCTTCAAAAAAGCTTCATTTAGGTTCAAGCTTCACTATTTAAGATATTTTGAAATAACATCATGACAAAGTCTATTATGATTCATCATACTCAAGTTGTCCAAAACAGTTCAAAGGTACAATGGTTGATTGAAGAAGTTTGACATAGTTGGACAAGTCTTTGTTTCCATTGATCATAAGTGCATATTTCCTTCAATTCTCAAGATTTGAAAGTGGTTTTGGTTGCTATGGTTTCTCATTATCATCCTCAACAACTTATATTCACATGACAAAAGTATTTGTCCAATAAGGTTAGTCAAAATTGAAAAGGTGTCCCAAGGCATTTTGTTTCTCTAGGAGCTAGGGTTTTAAACTTCAAAGGGGTATATCTTACTCATCTTTTGGTATTCTTGAGTGATTCCAAAGACATGCTTCTCTTTTAATGGTTATCAACAAATTACTTCAAGAGTTTCAAGGGAATTTTGTGTGGAATAAACTTGACGATGAAGAAAGATTACAAGTCCTCCAGATGAACCTTCAAATTCTATTAGGTAATTTTAAAATACCATAACTTGGTCAATCTTTGTCACCTTGAGCCCATTCATTTTCCACCTTGATCTTAGAGATATGAACTTCAACCTTTCTTTTAAGTGAAAATTTTGAAAATGGATGGAAGATGCCCTAAGGATGCAAAAGATTATAGGTCATTTTATGAATTTTTGCCAATTTCAACAAGTCATAACTTCCTCGATTTTTGGATATTTTTAATGGTTAAAGTCTAAAATTTTCATTCAATAGATCTACTTCATGCCATCTTTTTTGGTCAAGAGAAAATTTTAAGTGGAAGGCCATGTTTGGATGCAAGAGATTATAAGTCATTTTTGAAGAAAAAAACTTAGAAATTTTCTAAGTATAGAAAGTCAACCTCTTTTTCTCAACTTTGACTCATCACAAGTTTCAGCTCAAGCATCCATTTGATCCCATTATTTGCACATTGTAAATCTTGTAATCTTATCTTCCTAAAGCTTTAAGAATCATGTCCTGAGACCCCTTGAGTTGAGAATGCCATTGATTTGAATTTGGTAACTTGAAACTAAAGTTTCTCCAAAAGTGAAGATTTGGAATCCTTGTTTTGGCTTCTAAACACAAATTTGTTGCATGTTTTTGCTTGTAATCACATTTAGTGAACCTCCAGAAGTGATTAGCATGACAAAACACAAAGTTTGGATGAGTTTTGATCAAATTACAAGTCACACTTTTCTTGTTTGCAACTTCACACGACTTCCCTCCAAACTTCATCATTTCACAAGCTTGAGCATTCATTCAGCTTCCCTATAAATAAAGGACCATCCCTCATTTATTTTTCTCAAACACTGCCAAACTCTCTCTTGAACATAATTTTCTGCAACTTTAAATTTGCTCTTACAGCCTTTCTCAATCATTTTTCTTTGTCGATTCACCTTCCTTGATCCTCACTGAAGCTAACAGAAGAATAATTAAGCTTTAAAACTCCCTGAATCGTGCTAGCCAAGTCCAGTTTCAGAGATCTACAATTTAACTTCAATACGTAGATTCCTTCACCAATTCTCTCAAACTTTGATACTATTGTGAAGCTCTTATCTTCCTGATTTTAGTCGCAACATTTGTTTTCAACTGGAAACACGTTTTGACCATGAATTCAAATCCCATTTCAAAACTTCTCTTCTAAAATGACTGAGCTACAGTTTATATAAATTTTCCGCGAAGGTGTGGTTGTCTTTGCCTTGATGAGACGAAGCGAATGATATCAGTCTCGAGCTCTAATTTTATAGTTTGAGGAACCTGATTTTGAGAGTGGATGGAGGTTGGAGATGACCAACGTGTCATCCTTCAACCAATCAAAGCGTGCCATTTAGAATTTTCAAAAATATGATTTAATATTTGATTCAGTGCTTTATTTAATAATGACCTGATATGCACAACGTGTCTGATCCATTGGATTAGCTTACTAACGCGTTTTGACTCTCATCTATTGGTCCACATTTTTTTGACTTTATTTTATTTTCTGACTTTTATATTTAAATTGTTTTAAACTTTAAAAAAATCATTAAAAAAATCCATTTCAACTTCAAAAAACCTGAAAAAATTATGAAAAATACTTTTGATTTTTATCTTTCTGATTTTTATTTTTTCAAAATTTTATTTTGTATTTTGATATTTTTTATAATTTTTCACTTTATTTGAATTGTTTTAATTGTTAAAAAATAATTTCCTTCATTTTTAAATTCTGGAAAAAATAGAGAAGGATCCAATGACCTTTTGACAAATATTTGTGAACTCATTTATTTTTTATTTCAGACTTTACTATTTTTCTTCATTTTTGGTTTACTTTGTCTATTTCTTTTAATTTTAAAAAATAGTTTCTAACTTTAAAAAATTACCAAAAATTTTTTATAAATATTTGAGCTCGTTTCTGATTTTTCTATGGTCTTGTTTAATTTTTCTTAATTATTTTGAATATAATATCTATTTTTCCTCTTTATTTCGTTTTTAAATCGTTTTTTAAAATCTTATTTTCTTATTTTTAATACAGTTTTATTTTTCATATATTCTGGCTGATCTTGGACTATGAAATTTGGATCATGAACTTTATTAACATCATTGGATCCATGGTGTTGAGTCTAACTCCATAAAAATGGATGAATGATTTTAATAATAGTTTGATTAATTTTTTTAGGTCAAATGTGGTTTATTTCTCACCCCACCCCTCTTCATCTTATCCCATTCTTATTGTGCTAAATGTTATTGGAGCATGATTCCTATATCATGTCTCAAAATATATGGTACATAGATTGCTATTGACCGACATCAAAATAGGTGCGACTTCTATATAAGTCCACTTACGATTGCTTAACATAGTTCTAAATTGTGTCCCGATTTGAGAAAATGATCATTTGTGGCCCAGACCCATGTTTGCAATCCCAAGTATGTTAATTTGAACCCTTTGATCCAATAATATTGAGATTCATTGTTAGGAGGCTTTGGTCCTATCAATCCTCTAATGAATTTTCATCAACTTTGGTCAAAGTGGATCACTTAAACATTATTGATCATTTAATGTTGCCTTAAGAATTCTTAAATGGATGATATATTTGACAAAAAGAAAATGCAACTTGTTGTTGAGAGGCTTTGGTTCAACTAATCCTCTAATGAGTTCCAAATGCAAGTTTCAAGATGGTCATTCAACTAACCTCTAATTCCTAACAATTGACTTAATTTTTATGTTTTTACTTTATGCCTTTACTTTAAGCTCGTTTATTTTAGCATTTATATTACATGCTATTTTCATCTTTGCTCACTTGAGCATTTACTTTTATGTCATTTTTATTTTGCTCATTTGAGCTTTTCATTTATTTTTTTGAAGATACTTAATAATCAACTTGAACCCTAAAAAACTTTAATGTTACTTGGACTACTTGGTTGCTATCCTTGGCACTTTGGAGACATGGACCTCTTGGACTAGGATTAGGGACCTTGACCTATGTTGGAGACCTTGTGACCTCAATTGTTATTTTGTTTGGAGTTCTTGAGGTTTACCCCCAAGATATTGGGTTGTTTGTTTAATTTGTGTGCAGGTTATTGTGATTACATGCTTTGTCTGTGATCTAGAATTCATCTATGTACAGCTCTTACTCTGCCCAATTTTTGTGAATACTTAATGCAAATGGAGCTTGGTTTTCTTAATAGGTTTATGTCTTTGTTTGTTTGGTTTCAATCCAAAGTATGGGAATTCTACATTGACTCATTGTGTCAAGTGTTGGCTTCTTGTTAGTTAGATGGTTCTTTTCCCTAACTTTTACCTTATGCTCTAGGATAGCCCCTCTATCTCCTCCCATTTTCTTTAATTTCCAAAATCTTCTCCCTCCTTTTGAAAACTCTTCTTGTTTTAAAACTTGAACCACTTTCATAATAAACTTGGATTAATGTCCATGCATTTTCAAAAATCATTTACTTAATCAAACTTTAATCAACTTAATAATACTTTGACATTTTTGTGAGAAGACTAAATGTCAATCAATCTCATTCAAACTATTTTTTCCATTTTGGCTTTAATCTTTAAAATTTTCTCAAAAGATTAGACTCTTGTCAATCCTTGTAGTGATGTAAATAACTATACTTCTATAATATGTAGTGAAGTGAGATATTTTCCACTTGGGTGTTGAGTGAAGCTTTGTTGATTTTAAAATCCAATCTATATCCTCCACTTTGAGATGATGCAAATTCTCCTTTCTCATAATTGTGGGTAGTAAGTATGTTGTCCACTTGGACAATGGCAATGATGTCTTATCTCCTAAAATTAACCAACACACTTGTATTTTAAAATTTTTAAAAGGTGAACTACGAGTACCCTAATCCCCTATTGCACGGAAGGTGGTACGTAGGCACTAAAGTTTCACAACTGCGGCGGGTGCAAAAATTATTAAAAAAATACTTCCTTCCTCATCCCCATAATCCATTTTTGTATACAACATTTATAGCCAAAATATACAGATTTCAAAGAGATTCTTGCAGGGTACCGTAGATGTTTAGGGTGCTAATACCTTCCCTTTGCATAACCAACCCCCTTACCTAGATTCTTCCCCCCCTTATTTTTGGGTTATTCTCTCTTTTCCCATTCCTTTGGAAATAATAAATTGCGGTGGTGATTTTCATTTTGATCTAGGCGAGTTAAGTCAATCTAATGGCTTTGTCTCAACATTTTTACCGCTATTCATGTATGTTAACTTTTTTCCATGCATACATTTTCTACAAATTTTTTTGTGAAAAGTAAATATGCTATGATGCAAGTGCAATACCATATGTTTAAAAGTTCAACATAGCAATTGTACAATCCTCTGGATAACTGATGTATAGATCTGGTGAATAATTCGGATATCACAAGATCAAAGGATCGACACCACTTTTAGAACACAACGGAACCAAGTACCATGAACAACTGTTGTATAATCTCCAAACAAGTTGAATATACCAGGATCAAAGATCCAGAACATAACCAAAGAACCAGGTCACCAACAGAACAATACGGTCACCATCGGAACATAGTCACCATCTGTACCTGTAAGAATAATTCCTGCCCCACTCACGGGTGAAACTAGGTTAAGGTAAGCAAAGGTAACTCAAAATCACGGGTTCGTTTGAGAGTACTATCATCGTGCATCTATGTGATAATGATAATACCTCATTAAAACCTCATCTGAGCATGGATGACACAACCGTCTAGGGTAATCTACATCCCATATCAGTCGTGTTTCACTTTATTCCTAGTGTTCCTATTGTTTGTCACTTGGACTGGGTATTGGGCCTTTTATATCATAGTAACACCATCCAACAAAGAAACGCGGAAACCAGCACAGCAGCAGAACATGGAAGACAATAAAGATGCAATGCAAATATATGCTCTGATAATCATGTACAAATGAACAAGCTATAAATCATAAAAATAAACACCCAATGAAAAGAAAGCAATACCTAGGATCGACTCCGGGATGGACCAACAATAGGTCAAACTTCCCCAGTGAAGTCTCCAGCTGAAATAACCAGCTGATTAAATCATCGAGGTGAAATTAATGAAGTCACCATTGAACTTTTTTTATCCCATAGGAAGGTAAAGGTAAGCATCGAGTAAACCTGAGAAGGGTGAAATCATGATCAAACGACCGAGAGATTAGGTAAGGGAGTCTGTTATGCGAGGGGAAGGTATTAGCACCCCAAATGCATGTAGTAGTCTACGGTATCCACACTTGTTGTTCTAACCAAAGGGTGTGTTTTAAATCTAAGCTTAAGAGCTAAAATAAAAATATAGAGAGGGAATGCATGCAAAAGAAAAGAGAAAATAATGTAGGGAAAATAAAATTTGTGCTTGTTCGGGCCCTACCCCCAATGCCTACATATCCCTTTTAAGGAATCAGAGCAGTTGTAGTTCAGCTTAAAAGTTTCGGTTGGTTTGTATTTTTTAATGAACAATATTAATTTCGCCTTCTGCGACAGCTCGACCTTTGGAGACTCACGTGTCAGCACAGAAGTGAATTGACATGTTCTTTTGAAAAAGTTTGAAAGAAAAGCCCGAAGGAGTAAAAGAGTTTGTATTGGTTGACATCTTTTACCTTAAATAAGGATTTGGAAGTTGTTAGATGTTTTACGCATTTTCAAGAAAATGAGAGTTTTTGTTTTAAGTGCAAGGATGCAAAAGAAAAGAAAACATCTAAGGGAGACTATGTAAATCTAATCCCTAATGTTATCATACAATGATTGATCCTAAGGATGAGTTTTAAAAGGGGAATCTCTACCCTATGTTAGCATGCGTGGATACATATCCTAATGTCTAGCTCGAAAGCTACTATAATCGAGCGATCCTAAGGGAAGCGTACAAATTCTTGTCCTAAGGGAACATGGTATAAAAAACAAATAAGCAAACAAGTGTTTTAGAAAAAGCACACAAACATACTGACTCAAAGGGACGGGGAAACAAGATAAATACTTTAGCTAAGGGGAGCGTATCACCCGAAGCAATCAAGCGGGAGACGGATGAAATAAAAAATGTGACGTCCAAAGCAACTGGACACCAAACCAAGATATAGGAGATCGAGGTAGGCGACATAAGACAATATGAATGATCACGGAGTATCAACATCGACCAATGCGAACTCTTGACAAAGTGTGGGGGTTTGATTATAAAACCCTTCCCCACTTGACGGACTCGATACACAAGAGCTACACGACTCTGAACCATCGACGTACAACGTAAGCTAAGGATGACACGAACTAGAATGTGCAGGGGTCGATTATGGGCCCTCCCATTTGCCTTCTTTTGAGGACTTATCATCTATGATATAAGGTGGGAATAAATGTAAACACATGTGCAGAATACCTACTTCAAAGGTAGGATTTTAAACAAACACATATAGCATACAGAAAGCGGTGCCTACTGCAGGATATTAAACAGCGACTTCGAACGCACGCTCTTTATTTCCTACTTCTCATGATATCTAGAAAGCAGTAAAATTCCTACTTCTCATGATATCTAGAAAATCGATAAAATACGGAATGATAAACCATAATCAGAATGATACCAAACGATCAAGAGTTCATAGCACAACTAGCAAAGCAGAGAAACCCGAAAAACTTCGAGTGAGCTTCACCAAGCAACAGAGAAAAGTCCGAAATTGAATAATCGAAATAAGCGTCGAATCATCATCGATATGAAAATAAATCACAATCGGAAACTCAAGCACATCCGCATATCGTACGATAAACCTGCATAAGACTCATGTCTCAACAAGCATATGTGAATTACCAATCTCAAGTAATCGGATAGTCGAGATTTAATTCCTAAAATCAAATAAAAAAATCTACCCAATTTTTATATTTAATTTTATTATTTTTATCATGTGAAGAAAATTCAAACAAGTCTAAACAATTAATAAAATTATCCAAACAAAAATGCAAATAATAAAAAATAGGGGGTGCAATCTGTAAGCAGGGGGTATACTATAAGCAGTCATAATGATGCATTGAGCCCAGCCAGAAATGGTCCAATGCCTTGTTTTGTTCACAAACATACAGGCTGCCAAGAATATTTGATGATGGACCTGGGAATAGTTGTGGTCTGGTCCATGAGCCCTATAGTCTCAATCCAAATCTTATCCATATTATATTCAGCATTATTTATCTGATAAGAAACATTAGCAAGAATTTACAAATAAACATGGATAAATTAACAAAGGGAATGGTGAGCGTGTTTTGGGATTTTAGGTTAACATAGAGATTCTTGAAATCCTATGGCTCAAGTCTCCTTCGATCTCAAACCAAATCGACACTGAACATCTCCGATTCACCATCTCTTCTCATCGCCGCCCTCCGTCTTTCCCTCTCTATCCTACGTACGCCGATTCAGCTTATCCTCTTCTTCACAAAGGCCCTGCACGTAGCACCAACATCTCCTCTGATCGCACACTCGCCATCGTAACTTTGCCTTCTGATTCATTCGACTTCGGTCTCGATGCATCCCTTATTTCTCTTCAGCTTCCACTTCAAGATCTCTAACTTCGCGATTCTTCCCTTCACCTCTCCACCATGGTGCGTCACCATCATTTGCTATTCGAAGCATTCGCAATTTTGTTCCGCTTCTGTGAAGCTGTTGTAGCAATTCATAAGTCGTTGACGTTGTTTTTTGTGATACAGATTGGAAAAAAATTGTTATAGATTGTGGAGATAATTGAATCTTGAAGGCGCGTTGATGTTGCAGGTTCAGAGAGAAAGATCAATGAATCTCTACAAGCAGGTTGCGATAGCATTGAAGGTGCGGTTCACGATGTCGACGTTGTTGCTTGAAGCAGGAAAATTGATGATATATTGAAGATTGAGAGATCACGAATGAAGTGTAGTGATGATAGCTTGAAGATTTAACTTTGAAGTAGTAGTAGTGATTGAAGATTATGCAAAATGTGGTTGATGTTTGTTGTTGCAGTAGCGTGAAGCTGCATAAACGATGAAGTGAAGAATTGATGAAGCTTCTGCAGAAAGATGAAGATTGAAATTCGTTGAAGGTTTTGTTGGTTTTTCGGAGAGAGAGTTATGAGAGTTTTTTTTGGTTTGTGATGTGATTCTCCAGAGATTGAAGAATGATTGAACATGAATATGAGTGAGGATGATCAAGATTACAGAGTAGTGGAAGATTGAAGAGAAACTCCACGAGAATTCAGAGAGGAGAAGCCAAGAGATGAGAGAGGTTTTCTTGTTATTTCTGGTGATTCTTCTGCAGAAGTGAAGAATGAAATTGAAAGAGGTGAAGTTTTTTTGTTTTTATATTCTGTTAGAATCAAAAAGTTTGTTAGGATTGAAACGAATCCACCCCCTTGATTTAAGATTTGTGTTAAAGGAAATGAATGGTGAGATCCGGCCGTTAGAGTTTGTCGTGAGAGTTAGTTAAGTAGTTCGAAATTCTGTTGCAAGTTAGTTATGGAAGTTATGATGAGATGGAAATTCTGTTATGGTTTAATTTTATTTCTGATTTTCTGAGTTGAACTAGTTTTCTTTCCCTTGAAATGATTTTTAGTAGATAACTGTTTTACTGCCTTATTCCATCTAATGTGTGGCGATTCTGATTGACTGCATGTGATCTTTTAGAAGCATTGTCGGTATGCTCCAAACCAAGATATTTCTCCCAAGCACCATAAACACCTCACCTCTGATAATGACTGGATACAATATCTGAATTCTGAAGGTACTCAGGGCGCCAAGTGATGGAAAACCAGACTTCCACTTGCTAAACTCTTTATCAGGAACTTGAAGTTTCTTTTGTATTCTCACTTTAATTTAAGATAGAGCTTAACCTTCATGTATAACCAAGAAAAAGGATCTCTAAAGTTGGGAATTCACATTTGATTTTGAGCAGTGTCTTTAGTAAAGTGGTACATGTGAATAAACCGATCTTGTGGACCGATGTTTTTCTTTTCTTCTGGAATCTCTTTTGCTCGCAATGTCCAGTATTGATCATTAACGTTTTCAATCTTTTCATTGGATGGGAACACCTTGTATATCTTGTAATGATGATATTGTAATGACACCGAGAAATTTAATGACCATTATGTTGCACTTGCTTTTTTTGTGTAATGGACACGGTTTGCACTCTTTGAATTTAATTACAAGTTCTTTATTCAAAGTAATTTATCTTTCAAGTTGCTTATCTTTTCTTTGGATCTTGACATTAGTTGATGATGTAATGACATTTGAAGTCACGGTATTTGATCTTGTAGAAGAGACTTTGAATTTTTTTAATAACATATCTTTCTCTAAAAGAATTCACCAATGTCTTTTCTTCTAGTGACCGTGAATGGTGTTTGGATTGAAACTTGTTCATATACACCTTAAATCAAACCTTATGTGCAACTTAAGATTTCATGACAAGTTAAATCTCAGTTGACCCCAAATGTCATTCTTGATCCTTAATTAAACTTTAACTCAATACTTGAACCTTAAGGTCCAATTAACTTGTATTGGAAGCACAAACTTGATACGTCCAACTCCTTTCCCTTGATGTATTTAAACCCATTATCATTTGTACTATGTTACATGCTTTGCAATTCAATTAACTAATTGAATCACACCTTTGAAATCTTAAGAAGAAATCCACATGCTCATGACTTGCAAAGCAAGTAATTATAAGAAAACCTTTTGTTGAAGAACAAGTTGAAATGGGGAAGGAAGGATGATCAAGATAGTGATGATACCACACCATAATTCCATGATCCTCAGGAAAAAAAATCATAACCCTTAATCTTGATGAATTTGGAGAAAAAACCGTGTATCTTGAAGATAAATCGACCTTCCATAATCATAGGATTCAACCCTAATTCCGCATTTCACTGCCTAAAAAAATGACCAGAAGAATCAGGCTTTGTTGAATATATACGCCTCAGAACACTGTAAAAAACTATATCTTGTACGCCCATTGAACTTTTGAACCTCATACACTTTATTGAATGAAATTGATGCTATGTTAGTGAAAATGACCTATTGAAAAGACTCGAATGCAATGATAAGCTTAAGCCAGATAAAAGAAATTAGGAGGGAAAATTTTAGGGTGCAACAACTTCCCTTATTTAATCGTCTTAAATCTGAAGGTGAGATTGACACCAGCCTTTCGAACTTTCAAGGTGGAAGAAGATTAAATATCAAAAGAACCCGAATATTTACACTCTGAAGCCAGTCAGGTGTTATTATATTTTTTACTTCTCTATATTTTGTTTTTTGCCTTTTTGGATTGCAGTAGTTATCTGAGTAAATCTCTTGGATGTCAGGTCCAGGTTAGACATACACAAGAAAGAGACTGACCGAAGAAGGCTCTAACAAAAGAACGCCAATCGAAGGATAACTTACTGGGGATACAAATATACATTGAATCTGAATAGAACACTGATCGAAGGCGAACTTACCAACAAAAAAGGGACATCGGGCGAAGGTGAACTTAAGATGGAAAGACACCAGGCGAATGTGAACTCCGGAGAAAAGAGAAAGTCGAGTGAAGATGAACCTTACAAAGAAGAAAGACCAACCGAAGAGGACTCTTGGAAAAAGAACTTACTGGGAATTCACGTTTGTATTGAACCCAAATAGAATGCCGATCAACAGTGGACTTGTGATTAGAAAAAAAAGACCAGTTGTAGGGACTCTAAACAAGGATTGCCAACACACGTTGGACTTTAAGGGTTACGAATAAGCAAGAAATACAAAATCCCTCAGGTCAAAGGCGGGGTTTAATTCTTCAAGAGTGACATCATCTAGATTACCACACACCAAGTATGAATGCTCAAATACTTTAAGCAAAAATAAAGGCTATACACTGACTCTTACTTGTACTCTGATAGCGAGGTAAACACTGATAAAATAACTGAAGACTTGCAAGGGAAAGAAGAAACCACAAATTACTTGGGAAATGGAGAATACCAAGAGCTCGACTGGTGGTAAATCAAACAGACTCCGCTAGGGAAACATAACAGGATCACCCTAGGCTTGTTGTGGAGATAATTCAAATATGAGCGCATAATAATTTGGTTACTGCAAGTAAACACAATTGGCTTATACTTATGCATGTTTGAATTTTTTATAGCGTAATGCTCCATACAATGGAAATGCTACGCGTTTTGGTAGATGCAATGTAATGGTGCGTGTTTAGCAATGCATTGGGGAAAGCACGTCAATTATCAGTTGTTAAGAAGACAGTGACCTTCCGAACGAATATTCTAGAACATCTGATCTTGTGTAGAGAAAAGGTAATATGGACTTCAATGGGGAAACGAGATTCGGAACCACCAACCTCTAAAGATCGATATCCACGAGGAAGTAACTTCCTGGAGAGCAATACTGCAAAAATAAATTGCAGTTCAGAGAAAATCTTGAATTCTAATCAGACTCCCAACTTCATGGGGAACAAATTCTTTATCCTATGTTAAAAAGAGGAGAGCTTCGGTAGGGATGGAAACTTTCTTGCGTAGAATTTCTTAATGAAGATAGCTTCTATCGGAGAGTATAGAAATTCTTAAATAAAAAGAATTCTACTCAGACCACAATGGGGATAACACCATCGGGGGGTAAAAAGTTTTCACTTGGGGAAGAAAAAAACATCCTGGGACAGAAACTCCACTGGGGATATCTCGAAAAAATCTTCTGGCACCGGGGATAAAAGAGTTATGACCGACACTCCTTTGTACACCACATTGGGGAGACAAGACACTTTCTCCACTAGGGAAATAAAGCTTGCTCCACTGGGGACAAAGACTACCTCTTACACTAAGGAGCCAAAAAAAACATTAAATGGTAACATCAACAATACCCATTGCACTGAGTGTAGCCATCTCTGTAAGATTCAAGCCGACAAGAATTTTGTACTGGTGAGCAGAAATCACTTCATTGGGGATGATGGTCGTCCTCATGAGGATACCAAACTAGACTCTCCCATAGGTAAACATGAGTCTCTTCAAGAAACTCTGATATAGGCAAGTCGTATTGGAGAGAGGGGGTACACACTTCACTGAAGAAGAGAATGCATACTTCATAAGGAGAACGAGTGTGAACCTCACTGGGGAAACCGTAGAATGTCGACTTTAAGGGAAGCATATCAAGAATCATAGGTTTTAGAATAAAAAGATTCTTCCGAGAAAACCTAGAAAAAAACATACTGCACTGAGAAGGAGGAATTATATTCGGAAGAGAGTATGCCTTCACTGGGGAAAATACTACAAAAATAAATTGCAGTTCAAAGAAAATTTTGAACTCTGATTCAACTTCTGACTTCCTGGGAAAAAATCAAACATCTCTTTCCAGGAATAAAGAGAATCTTGCTGGGAACTGGGACCTTCTGATGTAAGTCCTTGATAAAAGTGACTTCGACTGGGGAATCGCAGAAATTCTTGAATAAAAGAATTCTACCCAGGGCACACGAGGGATACTACCGTTGAGGGTAACAATCTTCACTTGGGAAGAGGAGGGAATCTTTGAACCATAAGCTTGAGGTTAAGAACTCCACCGAGGAAATATTTCAGCAATACTCCATCACTGGGAATGAAATAGCCCTAAACGGTATTCGTCTATGCACGCTGTTCTAGAAAAACATGAGACTTTCTCCACTAGGGTATAATAGACACGCTGATCAAAACATCTCCTCGAGAAAACCTAACTCGGGAAAACTTCCCTGGGGAGAAAAGATATGAACTTCATGGGGAAGACGAATGACAATCTTACGGGAGAGATAAATACCAACCACAGAGATGCAGGGCATCAACTTCAAGGGGATATGAAAAGGTATCCAGTCCAATGAAATTATCCTTCCCAAATTCTTCGAAAAGAATAGACTGCACTGAAGGAGAAGATTGTACATAATCCTGTTGAAATGCACTTCTTTGGAGATAAACCCTCTGGGAGGGATAAACTCTTAAACAAACTCTTATCAAGAGTGCTGACTTCAACGGGGATCACACATGGGTATATTTTCACTGGAGATAAGGAATTTTGTCTAGGCGAAAATACGCCTTTACTTGGGATGAATGATTCTGTTTTGAGTAGACGTGAACATTCACTATGGAAATTGGATCCCATTCTACAAAAATCTTCATGTTGGTTGCATACAGACCTTTCTTGATTCATTTGTTGGTATGCTTCTTGTCCTAAAAGACCAACAGTACTTGCAAAAAGTAAAATTGTGGCAATATGCCTATGGAATGGCAAACTTCACTAAAGAATAAACAATTTGAACTACCAACCACTGGGTAAAAACTGCGATGCAAGATTACAACTTCATCATGTCAACTCCGAGGAGGAATGCCACTGACAAGTAGACTTTAGAGAGGATACTGCGAAAATAAATTGCATTCCACTGAAAAGAAATCATCTTGACTTCAAACAACTTCTAAATTTCTGGGGAGAAGAACCATTCTCCTCCTGTAGAAAAATAAGGAATGCTTCGCTGGGAAATAAATATCTATGAAGAGAAACCCGTTAACAAATAGAACTTTGTTAAGTAGCAACAGATCCTTTACCGGGGAAAGAAGTACTCTTAGGTAACAACCTCACACATTTCCTTCTCTCTGAATTCACAAATTATTTAGCCCGCGAATGGACTTAACCTGATCAACTCTGAAGTGGAGGAAATGCCTCTGTAAAGTTTCTTGCCCCAGTCTATAGGGTCTTTTAAAGAAAATTGCCTCGAGAGTACTTCATGGGATTTATACCATAAAGATAAACAACCTTAGTGTTATGAACTTCAGAACACTGCCCCTGACTGACCAGTGTTGGAAGTGGTTTCAACCCTGCTTGAGTGAATTCTCATGCATCTTCAGATTCTGAAAAGATTCTCCTATAATCAACGAATTCTCAGAGAGATTTATCAAATCGTGACATAATTGCCCCAGTTGGACTGTACTTTGAGGGATCAAATCTCGACCTGAGTGCCTCAGATTGGCTGAACACTTACTCAACAGAGTATTCAACATGCTTTCCCCTGCTCAACAAAGTCTTGACAAACCTTTTCTTCACCTCATGCTCACGGAGAAATGAGAAGCTCGCATAGTTATAAAGACAACACAATCTTAGGGTGGCTGGCTTAGGTATTGAAAGTGGGCAATTTCCCAACCATACTTCTCAACGACTATTAATATGACCATTTTGATTTGTTGTCAATTGAGAAATTTAATTTGCAAATTAATTGTTTAATTTAAAATATGTTTCTTATGAATATTTGTTTTTAAGTTTGTGTTTGAAACTGATTTTGCATTTTGAAAATTTTATAATTCAAAATTAAAATTGATTTTGATTTTAGTTTTTGAAATTTTAAAATTCAAATCCAGTGTTATAAAAATCAAACTGGAAAATGAACTGTTAAAACATACAGGTCAAGGTTCAATTGGTTCAACCGATTAAACCGTAATTGAACTGTATATTAAATTAAAATTAAAATAAATATAAAATATATTATTAAAAGTTCTAATAAAATTAAGTTATATCATAATTTATAAAATAAATTTTTTAAATAAATATAGTATTAATAAACAAACTTATAAAAGAAGAAGAATGTAATATCTACAAATACTACATTATTTCTTCTCTTTCTATTTATATTTATATTGTTTCATGTTTTTTTAATTTTATTCTTTATTTTCCATCTATACAATTTTAAATGTTTACTATAATTAATTTTTTAGATTTAAATATAAAAAAATAAAGAAAGTAAAATATGTTCCAGTTCACTAAAATTGGTCTCAGTTCTACTATTATTTTATTTTTTTTGCAATTAAAGCAGTTTTATCTTAATTTTATAGATCTAACGATTTACTGATCTAAATCGAATCAGATTAGACAACGGTTCAAGGTTAAACCAGTTTAACTGACCGATTCAATATGATTTTAAAAACATTGCTCAAAACATATATTAGTTTTGGTTTGTAAAAACTTTAAAACAAAAAAGAGAATCAACCTGTACATTGTGGTTGTGAATTTTTTTATCTTTTGAAAGTTAATTTCAAAACAAATATTTTTGGCTAAAATGAGAACGAATTAGTTTTACTTGATCTTAAAATAACTTTCGTTGTAGAAGAGAAAAGAATTCAAGTGAGGAAATCTAAGGTAAAGATGTCAAACTATCTAATGAGTTATAATGATTAGTGGGTAAGGATAATTACTCGTCAGAACCTAATTCTATTTCATGTGTTAAACTTTCAAATGATAAAATTTTGTTTGGTGAGGATGTTGGGTGAAATTGTAAATTGTGTGTTTATGTCAATATATGTGAATTTGATGTAATTGTGCAAAAATCATTTATGTAATTGTTTCTTTGGTAATTCAGAATGTTGCTATTGTTCTATGTTGATTGGTGAAAAATATGATGAAATCATATGATTAGATGATGTTGTGGTTGAATGATTTGTGTGTTGATAAATGATTAAGATATTATATATTAATGGCACTGAACCTGTTAAATTTGGATACATAATTCTTCATGAAAATTGGAGTTTTGAAAAAATATTGGAATGAATTTCCGTACACAGAAATTGCATAAAAATTTGTCAATGTTCTGGTGGTAACTGGTTATCACTTTTGGAGTAACCTGTTACCACCACTCAAAA